CGCTTCTGCAAGAAAAACCGGTTGAAAATCTATATTTGCATAAACATCCATACTCTGGTGATCCCTTTGAACGTTTCGAAAACGTAGGTTGGCAGAGTTCTCGGAAAATCCATTCGGACGCGAGCGCGCAGACCGCGATGAGCTACACTCCACACAATACAATAAGACGCACGTAAAACCATAGTTTGTGACATGAAAAATAATTTGTAGTTTCCACATGTACAGTGTTATTGTGTTAAAACTTCGTAAGAAGTTATTTACCCGCTTCCCAAGTCTATAATCTATAACTATAAAAACGCGAATGAAATGAAAACATTTACTTTTACCCTAAATAGGGAAAATGTAGTCTTCTGGAGAAATTAAATGCGCATACTTATTTCAATAGCAAATGCAGCAACATTGAAATTTCTATAATCCATAATATTTTAGATGTAGACTCTTGTTGTTTTTTTATTGTTTTGTAATTTAAGCGCTGACGATGTCTATGTTTATTCATATTATTCATTTTCGCGTGAATAAACTTTGAAATTACTGATGATATGGGCGATATTATTTCAATAATTAAACAAAGTGTGACTATTTCTTTTAAATATTTTGGAAACGATTGAATCGCCGGATAGGTTTTGTGCTTTGAAGTATGTTACTCACGATCAGTTCAGTTTAATTTAACTTCTTTCCTTGCGGTATTTTGTACAAATAAAAACATGATTAATTTATTAATATTGTCATATTATTACACATTTATATTATACATATGTTTCCATTGAAATTTTTTTCTTGCAGTATTCAGTCCACATATTTATTAAAAATTGTCTCACAACTTTATCATGGTTAATAAGTATTGTTATTAGCTATTCTCATCTAGCGTCATAATTTTTAGTCATTATTTTATTAATTACATGATATTTAAAAACGCCTTCTTAACTCATTATATCACAAGCAATGAAATGTGACGATTTTTGCATGTACAATTGTTTATTATTTATAAAAGTAGGCGTGTAGGAAGCTACATTTTATGAACCGAAACAAATAAATGTACATAAAATAATGTATTTCAAGAATCAGCACTCGTCAAATAGAAGAAAAATGATCGAACGATTTAATCAAAGTTTGTCATTAAACCCTTTTGATACCAATTGAAACTGTTTAACCGGAGCGAAAAGTGCCAAGCCAATAAGTTGCCGATAAGATGAAATTTATTTTCTATTACTTATTTTTCCATTATCCGAATTTCTAAAGTCTTTTTAACATATCAGTACAACGTAACATTGGTTTAATAGAAAAAAAATTGTTTTACAGCACCTTAAAATAGTTGTAAATTGTTATTAGCTTAATTCTCTCTGATTTCTTATAAAGGTGTTCGGTTACCTCGATGTGGGAAGAATCACAATCGGCGATTTTCATAATTTTTTAGACATCAATCTCTAGACATTAATATTGCTTCAAATCCTATAAACAGTAATAATATATGCATTATAACTTATAAACCATCTTGAATGAGTAATTCATTTTCATTGGTTATAACTGGTCTTTTTATTGTCAATTTAATTTTTATTATAACATAATATGATGTTACACATAACATATATGATAAATCCTCTACATTAGCTTTTATGAAAAATGTATTTGTAAAGTTAACGTTGTTGATTGCCATGTGATCCGCAATTGGGCGACAGAATTATTTGTTGAAACATAAAAGTCAATTTTTACGATTTCTGAGTGAATGACCAACATATTAACATGTTGACAAAAAATAAAAATAATAATTAACACTAGAACTAGTGAATAATGACGAAATGACGATGACGAAATTGAATTTACTCAAACGGTCACGATACAAGTCGGTTAATCCTACAAAACAAAAGCAGGAAAAAATGATAGAAAAGAGTACAATGACATTTAAGATATAAAGTTAAATAACCTTTTAAAATATAAAGTCAAATAAATATTATAGAATGGTGCCTCCATAATGAGAAATTGTCTAACATACGGGCATAATAATAAATTGTCTATTATACCACGGCCAAACAAATTTTGGTTATTTCTTGGCGTTAAGCCTACTAAAAGGAACTTTTTTGAAATTCATTCACGGCGATCCAATAAAAGGAACGTAAAATTGAACTGTGACTTTGTTTATGTAAATATTACAAATAAGCAACACATTCAGAATATCGAGTTATTTGTTACAGTGATGAACTTTTCAGCATCGGTAAACAAAACATCTATTCCTGTTACGCATTTAAAATTATACATTTTAGAAGTTCTCTCGCAACCGAAACTTTTTCGTCCCAAGAGAACTTTTCTTTCTCTGTTCTCATCGGAACATAATAATATAAGAACGTGTCTCAAAAAAGTTCTACGATGCTAGTATCAAACAGAACCTATTAAAAAGTTGCGCAACTTCCTCGATTGTCATATAAATAAATTCGCTAAAAAATAATGTTCACTTGTAGATAAGTTTCGTTCCTCTACTTTCGTCGGACTTTTAAGAGGAAACCGTCGAGTGCGGGATGCGGCGGCATGGCAATGGCAAGCGTCGTCAGACGTCGGCAGGGTCTAGGGTAAGCAGACGCACGAGGAGGCCGTCGGCGTCGCGACGCCGCGCCACGCCACGCCACGCCACGCATCGCGACGCGGGCCATACTATCGGGCGCGGATTTCCAGGAAAGTCGTGAGATGGCCTAGCCGGGCCGAATGACAAAATCAATTTGGGTTTGTCGTGGGACAAACCGTCCGCCAAAATTAGACGTCGGGGGTCGTAGCTGCGCGACCCCAGACGCCGCGACGCCAGCATTGTGTGTAGACGCTAATTTTACAATAGCCGTTTCAGTGCCAGCCCATGAACGAAAGGCACGTGCGACGTCCCGACGTTCTCTCGAACGATGCTAACGGGACGAGGAGAGTCCGCGGCGACGACGTCCTAAGGGATGGGGACGAGGAGGGGGATGGGATGATGGGGGGGCCGGTGGAACAGAGAGAGAGAGAGAGAGAAAGTGTAACCACGACAGCTATGCCGAGGCGTAAACTTAACCGGTGCGATCTTTAAAGAGGGACTTTTGCACGGATACGATCACACATTATGACTAAATATAAACGGCAGTCCGCGACTCTGTGTCTGGGCGACCCGCGTCCACGTGTACGTGTACATGAATCGGCTGATCTTGAGATTATGCTGTTACCGTCGGATTATAAGGGAAACCGGGTGCAAAAGTAACATTGCAAATAATTGAAAATTGAACAGGGCAGTAGAGCCAGTTACTGTGAGATAGCCAATTGTGCTGCGGTCTTTATCCCTCTTATCGAATAAGAAATATTAAATCTTTTTATTTGAATTCAATTAATTGTTTGATAAAATTGAACATGTAAAAAGACGAACGTTTTTAAACATTACAATAGTTATTTCAATTGTTTGATATTGGATTTGCGGGATTTGCTGTCAAACTTCTGAAGAAACTTAAGAAAATACTGAACGAATGAAGATCGATATTCAGCGAGTAAAATAAATCGTGCTGGGTAAGACATCGCGATGTTAATTGTATTGATAAAATGTATTAAAATTACAGAAAAATAGAACAGTGATTGATTATTTGGATTTTTGTTTTTAATTTCAATTTTAGTAGTTTATTCACCGCTTACCACGGGTTCAGCCTACATAAACTCAAATCATATGTCATATTTTGAAAGCAGTCATCTCTAATATACACTTTTAAACAACTTATTATGATATATTTTTTATAGAAAATGGAATTTATTGAAGTATGTTAAATATTAAATATTTATTATGCACGGTTATTGAGGCTCAGTATTCAGGAAAGTAGCACAGTAATTGAAGAACAGTATTCAGAGATCACAGTATCTAGGGAGGGAGCACAGTAACTGAGGCACAGCAACTGATCTTTGTAGATCATAGGTACACAGTAACTAGCTCCAGAACTTTTTTTTCTTTCTCCTAATATTCGAATAAAATTTGATATTCGTGTCATGAGAAAATTGATATCGATAAAGGAAACTTCGAAATATACGCTTTTACAAAATAATAACAGTTCAAATATTGACAATTTGTCACAAATCGGAAATAAAGTGTACGTATACTTTTTAGGCTGACTGTGTAGATCTAGTAAATCGATTCTTTTCTATCTCCTCAAGAAAACTGAAGTCGTTTGATCCAATTTGAAAAAAGTTATCCTCCTTAATATTTTGACTTTGTCCCTTTTAAAATTTCATCTATACTATTCGCATATTGATAAATAAGTACTAACGAATTTGTATGACTTTCATGTACTGTAATCCTGTTAAAGAGTCTGCCAATAACGGAAGTCACTGTATATGTATAAGTTTTTCATTGTGCTTGTGTGTTGCCTCTTCCTTGAAAGGGTGTCCTACATTTTCACAAGTTCGAAGCTCCCTTTAATCTTTCGAAACGAACCTTATTAATTAATATTAACGACACAATTACAAGTTTTATCGATAGATTTCCATACTTAAGAAACTCCTGGCTAGTATGTAATATTTTTAACGAGGTAAATACTTCAATATATAACAAACGATAGAGTCTGTACTTGCAAAGATACATTATAACCTGATTATTACTTTTCGGTAGCTTCGGGAAACTTTGAAAAAAATATGTGCAATCCTTTATAATTCACTGTTTGGTATATCACAGCAGAGACTCCCTTATCCGAACATTTATTTTTACAATATTCTGATATTTAAATGTTCTATTATCTAATCATTGTATTATTTAGATACATTATCACCTAATACAGAACTTGAACGACATTTTTGGATAATAGAATATGTCTCTACTGTATGAAAATTGTATATTTATATGAACGTATGTCGAATAACTCTCATATTCGGCATATACATATATTAGTTTGAGTACTAATTGAAAAGAGCTCAAGGTATACAGTTTTGCATTGTGTTGCATATCGTGTCTGGATACACTTAATACGTATCGAGCATCAATATCATACTGGATGCAGATAAAATTATTCCAGGTTCTATTACCTAAGCCCACGCGAAGGTCCACCCCTAACACTGCTTGTTAGCCCCTGTAGCGGACCAATATCATGGACGGTTAGCTATGTCGAACCACCTGAAAACACTGAAGAGTCCGAGGGTGCAAAATGTAAGAGTAATTAAATATTGTACGATAACATGTAGCAATATTATACTGTTTATAATATTAGTATTAATACTGTTTATAATATTATTTAAAGTATACTTCATACGTGATTTGAACAAGAAAGAATACTGTGTATTCCCGGATATTTTAGAAATACTTATTTAAAGCATTGTAACATATAATATCATACATAACGTGTTCTTAAAATTCATAGAATTGAACTTCGAATTATTTTAAGAGCGGTTTGTCAAAAGATATCAACAGCTTATTTAACCTTTGCACGTCGCAATACTGGGTTCATGAGAACGCATAAAAAGCTGGATTCATCTTTTCGATATTTTATTGTTATTGAAAACCTCATGCATTTATGCTGCGTGAATATATACACTATTTGCATTTTGTATACTGATTCATAAAAATATTTGTGACAAGTAATTTTACTTATACATATAATTATTATAGAATACCTCCATTAATATATAATATAAAGCATAACGAATACATATAACATTTTTTTCTAGAATATTTCATATAATATCATATAATATTTGTAATATAAATGTTTTATAAATATGTACAAAATGTATATGAAATCTATTATAATTATATAATAAATCTTCTCTATACCGAAATTTTTTAAATCAACTTTTCTATTGCATAACATACATATTACATTTTTAAATCTAATCTATGACAAGTTTTCAAATGTGATTCATTCGCGTGTTAATGGACTTATCTCATTTATTCTATCGATATTAGTTACCGTTTATATGTACGGGTCTGACTGGACCCAGCATTCGCCAGGCGAAGATTAATAAACTCTACGGTAAAATAAAGAATAAAGAGAACAGTAACGAACGGACTGCGGATTTTTATTATGCAAAATAAGAATTGTTCGCATCAATTGCAAGAAATAGAAACCAAGTAGCAAGTTCATTCTTCCTTGAATCATTTTAATAGATTAAAAATAATACATCGACGTTCCGAAATGTTTTTGATGTTTACACTGTTTTAAATTATAAGCGCACAATTTTCACATAAACGTATGAAATCCGCGGTCTAGTAATAAATATATCACTATTAACGCTGAACGCAGGTGTTGATACGGCAGGAAGATATCAGAAGTTCTAAGCCGAGATAAACGTCTCTCTAATGAATAAAGTATTATGATCGATATAACAGCACAAACACGATGGCCAGTGAAGACTCTGAAGCCAGGCTCCCCCCTTTTTACGTACCAGGGCGCCGAGGATCAGAATTTTACGATACCGAAGACACGAGCCGGCCTCTACCGGTTCGAAATTAAATCCGTGGACTCTCCTGACGCAAATTTGCAAAAACTGATCCCGAGTACGGTGCTTTTGTACGCGACGTCCAGCGGATTGGATCATATTCCTGAGTGGTACATGAACGAAAGAGAAAGCCGTCATCGCTCATTGAGATTTCAACAGCGGAGGAGCAAGCGTCGGCTCACTGTCTCCTGGAACAAAAGGTATTACGCGACGAGCTTGTTATTTGTTAAATTTACCCGTACACGAGTGTCTGAATCCGTCGCGACATTTGCACACTAATTAACGATTACTTTCTAAACAATTATCGCTGAAGTCGTTGATGAAGATAATGGAGTGAAACATCCGTTTAAGATATTACCATACGCGAGAACATAAAAGATTAACTGTGCTCAAGGTTGCGAGATGATTCGAGGTACCCTATGAAACAATAAATGCTGCTTTTCGTGAGAATTACATTGTCAGACATGTTTTTATTCGTTTCTCATATGTTCCCGAAAGTGGAAATTCACACGTTTTCTATTTCTGGATATTGTAAAACGTTTTATCGTCTTTAAAATTGGTGTTGACAAATGTATTTATATAGACCTGCTGCGAGACGGTTCAAAATTAATTCTACAGTCTTTTATGCAATAATTTTGAAAGAGCGTGTGCATGCCGCTACTAACTGTCTGTGCATTGCTGACATATCTACTTCTAACAAGCGTGTCTTCGCTTACCTATTCACAGTCGATTTTGTTATCTCTCACTGATCGCTAGTCCGCGGATTTTTATGCAAAATAAAAATTGTCTATACTAATTGCAAAATATAGACGCTGTTAGAATAAGAAGTTATATTCTTAATAATTTGAATAAGTTGAAATTGATAGAACAGATAGAACTTATTTACTATTTTACATTTGAACATTTGAACTTACATTTTTCACTTTCGTTACGAATGCATAACATTTGATGTAATAGAATTACAAGAAATAGTACCAAATAAATACCATCGTAGTCCAAGAAATTTGAAGAATTCACTCGGTTACGTTAATTAAAATTTTAGTAAATTCTGTTCTATGTTGAATCACAAATTAGAAATTCCTGTGATTATCGTTATAAAATTAAGTATAATCAAACAAACATTATTTCAATATTTCTATATTTTTTCAAATAATTGCGTATTTGTTGTAACACAATGTTTGTAACTTTTGTAAGTTACATGAAACATGAATTTTCTTATACCATGAATTATCATATTTTCCTCCGTAACACATTCATGACCAAACAACGAAGTCTTGACAGCCTGAAACTCGTGTTCTTGTTACTACGAATGAATCTTCATTAAATCAATTAACAAACAATTGTATCGCAATTGCAATTACGCATTTCCTAATATTAACTCTATTAAACTTTTTCAATGCGTATGTTTGTAACATGAAATAAATATTTTAAACAGTATTTCGATTAACATAAAAGAAGTTAATTATTTCAAATTAACGTTATAATGTCTGAATATATTTTCATGTCTTATTCCAAACATTTTTCAACTCAGCACTGTGTATACGACCCTAATGATTATTGAATAGCATATAAATAAATTCGTCTTGATACTCGTTCTTATATATATATATATATATATATATATATATATATATATATATATATACGTATAANATGAATAAAGTATTATGATCGATATAACAGCACAAACACGATGGCCAGTGAAGACTCTGAAGCCAGGCTCCCCCCTTTTTACGTACCAGGGCGCCGAGGATCAGAATTTTACGATACCGAAGACACGAGCCGGCCTCTACCGGTTCGAAATTAAATCCGTGGACTCTCCTGACGCAAATTTGCAAAAACTGATCCCGAGTACGGTGCTTTTGTACGCGACGTCCAGCGGATTGGATCATATTCCTGAGTGGTACATGAACGAAAGAGAAAGCCGTCATCGCTCATTGAGATTTCAACAGCGGAGGAGCAAGCGTCGGCTCACTGTCTCCTGGAACAAAAGGTATTACGCGACGAGCTTGTTATTTGTTAAATTTACCCGTACACGAGTGTCTGAATCCGTCGCGACATTTGCACACTAATTAACGATTACTTTCTAAACAATTATCGCTGAAGTCGTTGATGAAGATAATGGAGTGAAACATCCGTTTAAGATATTACCATACGCGAGAACATAAAAGATTAACTGTGCTCAAGGTTGCGAGATGATTCGAGGTACCCTATGAAACAATAAATGCTGCTTTTCGTGAGAATTACATTGTCAGACATGTTTTTATTCGTTTCTCATATGTTCCCGAAAGTGGAAATTCACACGTTTTCTATTTCTGGATATTGTAAAACGTTTTATCGTCTTTAAAATTGGTGTTGACAAATGTATTTATATAGACCTGCTGCGAGACGGTTCAAAATTAATTCTACAGTCTTTTATGCAATAATTTTGAAAGAGCGTGTGCATGCCGCTACTAACTGTCTGTGCATTGCTGACATATCTACTTCTAACAAGCGTGTCTTCGCTTACCTATTCACAGTCGATTTTGTTATCTCTCACTGATCGCTAGTCCGCGGATTTTTATGCAAAATAAAAATTGTCTATACTAATTGCAAAATATAGACGCTGTTAGAATAAGAAGTTATATTCTTAATAATTTGAATAAGTTGAAATTGATAGAACAGATAGAACTTATTTACTATTTTACATTTGAACATTTGAACTTACATTTTTCACTTTCGTTACGAATGCATAACATTTGATGTAATAGAATTACAAGAAATAGTACCAAATAAATACCATCGTAGTCCAAGAAATTTGAAGAATTCACTCGGTTACGTTAATTAAAATTTTAGTAAATTCTGTTCTATGTTGAATCACAAATTAGAAATTCCTGTGATTATCGTTATAAAATTAAGTATAATCAAACAAACATTATTTCAATATTTCTATATTTTTTCAAATAATTGCGTATTTGTTGTAACACAATGTTTGTAACTTTTGTAAGTTACATGAAACATGAATTTTCTTATACCATGAATTATCATATTTTCCTCCGTAACACATTCATGACCAAACAACGAAGTCTTGACAGCCTGAAACTCGTGTTCTTGTTACTACGAATGAATCTTCATTAAATCAATTAACAAACAATTGTATCGCAATTGCAATTACGCATTTCCTAATATTAACTCTATTAAACTTTTTCAATGCGTATGTTTGTAACATGAAATAAATATTTTAAACAGTATTTCGATTAACATAAAAGAAGTTAATTATTTCAAATTAACGTTATAATGTCTGAATATATTTTCATGTCTTATTCCAAACATTTTTCAACTCAGCACTGTGTATACGACCCTAATGATTATTGAATAGCATATAAATAAATTCGTCTTGATACTCGTTCTTATATATATATATATATATNAAGGCCTCCTTCGTTGATCAAAAAACATTACAAAAATAAAAACTTCATAAACAATATTGATTATAGATTGAAATAAACCATTTCCCTTTTTTATATTTGTTTTCATCTGAAATTGTCCTTTACGTGTTCACTTGTACTAAAAATGTTTACATTAGAATTTGATCCTAGTTCTCCAGTTCTGTTTCTAGACAATGCTTTACTGCAAATAGCGAAAATATTTATGATGGACATCGTTATTGCTCCACCCTGAATCATTATTGCTGTTGATAGATCCTGAAACTCGAAAGATATGTTTATTTTTCCAGCAACATAAATCCTCACCTTTCACGCTACTGTTTAGCCGTAACATCGGGATCTCAAGCTCACCCGTTGACCCTTTGCGCGGCTCAGAATGTCCTCCATGTTCATGCGCATCCATCGAAGGGTAGTTCCTCCAAGGAGCAGCAACACCGCGGGGTTCCGGAAGGACTTCACTGCGTGCGCCAAACGAAATTGACGCTTCATCGGATGAAGTACGACACTACGTACAATTTCACGTTATACGTGGTCAGTAATCGAGATTTGGGAAGGTCTACACGACTAACCATTCTTTCTAAAAGTAGACTGCAGGCGGTAATAATTAGGGGTGTAAAACATGTTCTGCCAATTTTGTTAAAATTACTGATTTTGGTAAAAGTACTTTTTGAAGAATTGCTATTCTTGATGAAAGATTCGTCGGTTATCTACAGAGTGGGACATTTAAAACAGGTCACCAGAATAACTCGTTTGTCTTCAACAATAGAAAAATAAGTTCCAGACAAGGGTTGCTTGGCTTTTACACTTGAATCTGATCGATTGTACTTTATTTATTATTCAAACAACAATTGAATTAAAATTTAAATTACGACACGGTCCTTTTGAATAAACACGCGACATTGCAATACGATCCTTTTAGTTAAATGCATAAAATTACAACACGTTCCTTTTAAACGAATACATGAAATTGCAACATTTTCCTTTTAAACAAGTACATGAAATTACAATATACTCATAGAAGAATAAAGAGAATGTACGAGGGTTGGCTATCTTCTAAAATTTCGAGGTGTCCTCTTATTGTTTCAGGTGAATACCCGCAACAACGTTTCGAATCGGGTAGCAACCGACAGCATACGATTTCGAAAAACTCCGGAGTTAATTTTACGAACTGGGGGTTACACCACGACCAATTTACGCAAGACTGATGGATTTGTTCATTTCCGATACCGTCCACCAGAAAATACTTCGAGCACCTTCCATATCTTTCCCTGCGGCGGTGGAATTGTCAAAGCGAAATTAACTGCACCAGGAATTTTGAGGGTAATCGAACATTCGTTCAGTTGCATATTTTTTAATTCGATCTGTTGCATCGATTCTTGAAAACCATTATCTGCAGCTGTAAATGTTCTGTTTTTTCCTAAAGAACGAAAAACGAAAAAGTTCTTTGACGTTTTTCAGATTGCAATATACTGAAATCAATACAGTATAACTTATTATTCTTTAAATATTTTCTAAATATCTCAATGTTTTATTTATGTAGAAACTTTTATAACTTATAATTATTATAATTATAAACTTTTATAGAAGTAGTATAGAACTTTTTTAAATTGATTAATTTAGTACAATTTCCTAAAAAGTATTGCCAACTCTTTAAACTATTAGGAATGTTGATTACACACACGATATTTCTAAAACCGTTGGTCATCGTTAATATTTTAATGATTGAAATGATCATTCAATGACATTAAACTGCATTTATTCATCATTTACTTACCTATATGAGCAGAAATTAGGAGGAATCTCTTTTTTAATATTTCTTACTCTCTGTAAAGTCATAAATTTTTTATGCGAGGTACGAATACTATAAATAATCTACATTTACAGGAAAGGGAAGTAGTAGGATATGCATCATTAAGTGTGCCACCTTTAACTTCAGGCAAAGCATACACATTGCGAATATCCGCCACACCGCAAGAGTTAGCACGTGTTTTTGCTATCAAGGTATTAGCTACACAAGAATCGTCGACGATATTTCCACAGGTATGTTCTCAGTTATTAACTTAGTCTGAATTACATCAAGAGCGTAAAAGAATTCCTTAGCACGCATTTGTACGTATAAAAAAGAAAATAAAGTATGTACAATTATCTGAAAGAATCACATGTTCTATACTATATCACATGTGCATAAAGTGAATGTAAATAACTGAACTGTTATAATAATATGTGCATTCTAACCATGAAGATATAATAAGATATAATAGATTGTAACACAACTAAAATAACGTGCACGTTCTAGTTGAATATTCGACAAATTTACAAGTTTTTTAATTTAATAAAATCGTCAATGCAGAAAAGGCAAGCTTCTGTTTCACTACGTACTTGAAATTTATTACAATTTCATTGAATGCATTTTAAAATACAGATTATGTCGCACATTAGTGTCACGTTATTATATCACTTTGAGTGACACTAATTTTCAACTAGTTCTTAAAATTCAGTCTTAATGCAATATATTCGAACAAACTGAATTTTACTAGGATGTTCAGTTTACAAAAGAATGAAAACACCGCCCACCGTGATAAATTTTATCTCTCCACTTTCAATTTCATTAATTAAATTGCTTCGGTATTGTGGGAATTTTTGGGGTTGATTTTTGGTGCTTCACATGTCAACATTTAGGCGATCGAGGCCTTGTAAGTATAATGCGCAGGAACTACAAAGTTCGACACCTTCGTCTCGGTGAAATTAAACAGCGGAACTTCCGTCCGGAAGTCAACGACCCGTATTGCCGGCGAAGGGTTGATATGCTAATAAAACAGCGATAAAAATCATTAGACAATGTGAACCTTGTATTTAGATACCATCCAGAAGTACGCCGCGCGAGTACAGACCCCTAAGGACCTGCCACGGTGTGACGATAGGAGTGGAATCGGCGGGTGCAGCTAAGTATTGCATCCTGGTGCGGGAATTGCGAAGTTCCTCGTTATTGGCCAGCGTGACTACGATCCCGGACCAGTGCGGTCTTCATCGTCGACGACGTTCCGAGTACACGTTCGAAGTTTGCGAGGAAAGGCTAAGCCCGCCAAAGGATCGCGCGATTCCGTTCACATTGACGCGCATGCAGCCGGGTAAAGCGTACCTCTTGCAAGTCACGGCGCAATTAAAGGGTCAGTCGTTGTCTTATCCGTTGCTAGGAGTACGCACCCGACGCACCTGTGTACGTCGTTCCGACAGCTCCCAAGAAACGAATAAGACCGAGCAATGATGAGCATCGACGACGTTTCAGCCACACACTCAGCACAATTCTTCTCTCTACCGGGTCGATGCGAGTCGAATGTCGTTCTCTTCGCATTTAATTCTCACTGGTGGACAAAATTATGAGACAACACGAAAATAACCGTAGGAGCTTAACCTTTTGCACGCTGGCTTGGTGCACAATGAGCTTTTTTTGGACACATGTATTTAATCTAACCATTGAAGGAAGGACAGGAAATGGAATGACAGAAAATCGATAAGAAAAAAGACAAACGTTTCCACTAATTAGCTATAAAGATGTCAGATTCTTCTGAAGATAATTTGTCAATTGTAGAACGATGATCCGCTATTATTGAATAATTATTATTCTTTTTTGAAGTAAGTTCTCTCGATGTTTGACGCGAATCATCCCCTAAGGGATCTTACAAGACCTCGTTATACACAACGATTTCCGGTTTACTATATTATAGAAAAATCACCGGAACGAAATTTTACAAAAAACTTGTTTGTGTGGTGAATCATTTTTCCAGCATTCTTGTAAGTTTGTAAGAGAATTATATGAATCACGGTTGGTCCCACTTCGGGAATATCGTAATCATTTCTTTCTTCAAGAAGATGTCAGCCTCTTGAATCGTTGTTGAAAGTCACTCTGAGAATCGCACTGTTGCAGAGATAACGCGAGAAACAAAAGGGTGTTGTGTAGAAAAGCGGAACCAGTGGGAGAAACATTTACGAATGGATGAAATCCGATATTTCATCGTTCACCATTTTCTAATAGTTTGGTAAATATAAAGAACTGTCTAAAATTTCGCTTGAGAAACGTGCAGCAATTTTTATTGGTGCCTCAACGTCATCAGTCTCGTGCAAAGGGGATAACATTGCTTTTAAAACAGGATTGTGACAACCGACATTTTCAGATATTAAACGAGTAATACAAAGGAATTTTCAATATAAACAAAAATTATAGAATATCCCTTGAATAAAATTATAAGGCACTTTTGCTAGTGGGAGTGTTAACAGATGTATTAAAATTGTGTGTTTTTTACTACCTCGATCATTGGATAAGGTAGTTTTTTACTAGAAATTATTTGTTTCAATTGAAAATCTCTCATACTTATTCGTTTACTTTGTGAAGGTGTTGGTTACAAATAAATGAAAAACAATCGTAACTGCTATATATAATCTTAGCAACTTAACACAAGCCTTATAAACAGTGTTTCCGTTATTTTGTCCAACCCTAACACAATCATATATATCTTTATTTATCCCTTCGTCGATCCTTTAATATTAAATATTATATGTGTACAGTATAGTTTTTTATAACTATTTCAGTATATATATATATATCCGAATCTACTGTTAGGTAAAGCTTTAACCATACGTAGTTTCAACCAAATATCGTATAACTAATTAAAATTATTTCTATACATTTCTGTACGGTCATTTCGTTAATCAACTAATATCATTATTCTATATTTAGGAGAACAAATAAGTAAATGATTTGCTCTCGTTATTATAAACAGTTGAATATCAATGGTAATGTGTGATAACCAAAGAAAACTTGACGATTTGAAAATTGCTACAAAAAAAACGTCAAGAATTGGAACATAACATTTTTCTAGATTATTTTCGTTATTTTCGTTAAATGATTTTTCAAGCATTAAATCGTTTCGAAATTAAAATACTTTTAATTAATTAAGGTATGAATTAACTATACGAAGTTTATAAGAAACTACGCGTAGCTAAAGTCCTGTTCGAAGAAATGACATTTGATGCGCACCAATCTATTACTTGCATGTAACACTTTCCGGCAAGTTTTGAAGTGACAAATTTTCATTTGTCATTTTAAAGCCTTCAAATCCAGTATTTAATTACTGTTTAAATGTACGCTTAGAATGTTCAGAATTTAGGAAAACGGTAAGAAGAGAACGTAGTCTGCTCATTCATGACTGTTGTTTAACCATTTCTATTCCGTTATACAGTATGAACCGCATATGTATACAAGCTCAACCATCCATTGGCATGTTTTTCACTAAAAAGAAAGACAAGATCGCATAACGTGCGATCAGACATTTTCAAAGATAGTGTATATGAACCAATGACAGTTACAAGTAAGATTAAGGCAAATAATATTTGTACAGAACTTACGCAATTTTCGGAGGCGTTTTAAATAGTCGAATAGAACGATATAAAAGGAACTTTCTGGTTTTCAATAAGCTGCAAGTAATTCGATAACATATTTGATTTGAACAATAAAAAACAGAGTAGATTTTATATAATAACTGCAATCAATATAAAATGTTCGGACATTTTACATTCGTTCTTAAGTCGATTTCTCGTCTTTTAGATTCTACCACTTTACCATTAATTTATACCGTAATGAAATGGGAAAATTATTATTCATTTATTTCATTACTCCATGACATTCAAATTATAGTTACGATACGAGCTCAAAATATTCCAAATCTCACTTAATTACAGTTAAAAACTATGCTCGATCTAAAAAGATGTAAGTATACATTCAATACAAATTAAAATTCCAATACAGGCATAGCAAAACAAAACAATAGAAGAAGTATGAATTGGACCGCCCGTAATAAGATAAGTCGACACTGTCGATCTCGACAAACATAAATGAATATAATAATTGAATACTCTGAGAAATATATTTTACTTTTCAAGTTATTGTAAAAACTTCTTGGTAGTATGTAGTCTTTTTTTTAAGTATTTAATTTAGAGAAATGGAAGTCTCCACGAATCTTGTCGATGCACAAAGTGTTGAGCTAAATACTTCAAAATTAAGCAGTACAATATCTCGTAAACATTTGAAGGCCTATACTCAGTTAAAGCTACATTTTTTCCAATCAAGAACAAATTACTGTATGCATAAAAATTGAAAAACTATTCATTGTTAATTTGCAAACAAGTGTATTTATATGTTTATCAAGATTATTTTTAGTAAGAAATGCTTAAATATGTTTTCACCTAATTGATCACACTGAGTTTTCAAAATTTCAAAAATAGCTTGAATATAAGATAATTACTTCGCGGTTACTAGTCAAGTTTCCAACTTTTTTCAAAATCAAGTCTACCCCATTTGCGAACTTACAAAAGAGAGTCTTCGCTAAAATCTAAAATATAATAAATGTTTTGTTTTGTATTTACACATTTGATGATTACAAATTCCTCAAAATACATAATCTTCAAATGGATGACCGAACATAAGACCTTAATGCATTTTTAATCTATAGTCTATGAGATTGTTAATAATAAGTTAAGCTACCGAGAATTTACGTTTGGATGTGCTGTCTCAACTTCTGAAACACTCGAAGGAAACGTCAATGTAATTTTTCTGAGAAAAAAGTATCTCCTTCGTGTGAGCATCTATTATTCTGTCTCGAGGCTAAATCTAGTCTAGATTTGCAAGCGATAGTGATTCGATAAGATTTACCTGAAATTTGCATTTCTTTCCTACTTTAAGATACACCCGTTCTTACAGAATTTTATTCTAAGGAAACATTAATAGCTTTTTCTCTTTAGAAATAACCAATTTGCGTGAACACCTGTAGGTATCCATGAAAATAAATGTTCTTGCCATTTCTCCGCTCTTGTCTAAATGCTAGTTACACGTTCGTGCTGTAAATACAACGTAATTATGTTGTTACATTACACATTATATGTGGCATGCGACCATGATCGATGAACTATACAGCATGGTGCTAATTTTCACGTCTAAAGCGGCATGCGATAGCGTTGGGCATTAACATTTGTTTATAATGCATTTTCCATCTGGCTTACGTTTGACGCCGAATCGATCAGCTTCTGCGGTTAATGCTAGCGATACGATTCGTTTGCACGTAAAATTAAGTTATCGTTTTACTGATTTCGAATTCGTTTATTCGATTCAAATCTTCGTATTTTACCATCTTTATCGATTTTCTCGAAAGCAGATACCTGCAGAATTTCGAGAAGATCTAACACAGTCGAATAATTTTGTTCTCAATTGAAACATTAATTATGTCGTACAAAAGAGAAACATAGTTTGTAAATTTCATCTTAAGGATTGGAAGTTTGAATAGCTCAAAAGCGGGGTCAGATTCAATATAAAATTTTATCGATGCTTCTGTGTAGAGTTTTTTTAAACATTACTTTTGCAGAATAAAAATTGATAAGTTCTGTGAGTTTTCTGGAAAATAGTACAAAGAAACCAGCAAAATGATGACTTAACTGACCTTTCCTCAGTTTCATGTGTCGTACATTTCGTTTTCAATGAAATCTTGTAGCATCGATCGCAAAAAGCAATTGATGTAGCATACACAATGGCCCTTTATTTTCTTTATGAACAAATCAATCTCGACCCAATGATTCTTGTGGCTCAACTGCTGAACTTAGTTACCAAATATAATACATCATGACATTTCTTAAACCTTCATATCATTAACTTTAATGTGCAACATAAATTAACTACGAATTCCTTATTTCCGTAAAACTGTCAACCCTTTCACCGTGTAAAGATCTCAGCAGTCGAGAATCACAGAATAATATATAAAATCCAACAGGTAGCTAAAAAATAACGCGAACAAATTAGAAACTTATATTGTTTATCAAGCGTTTTGTTCGTAATTTAAAATAAAGTTGCGAAACCTTCATCGTCGTTCAATGTGATTACATTTGGCACAGATGTGTCCGCCGTAAATTCATAAAACCGACAGTTCACTAATTTGGTACATACTTGTAATGTATTATCATTTAAAATGCCTCATACCAACATTGTATAGTACTTCAGTAAGTTATCGTCCGCATCGAAATAAATTTGTTCTTTCTCCGATAAGCCTGATAAATGCACTAGTGTCATTCCCTGAAAAAAGGAAGCAATTACAAAAGTCTCGTGTAAAAGTCCATCTTGGAACATGTTGACAAAAGGATATACCATATTGTACCATAACTCCGAAATCCGAAGTACGCGGACAATTGTATCGAATGATATTGCGTCCCGATACTTCTACACACCATTGTATATGTACTGTATAGTTACGATATCGGCGTAATTTTTATATCGCATATACATATAAAACAGAAACGTTTATTTTAAGTGTATGTAATACAATGTATTGTATAATTGTAAGATCGTATAATGATAATAACTTTAATGTAAGTAGTAGCCATCGTAAATGTAACATAAAATAAAGTAATAAAGATATTTCCAAGTATGTGATGATCGTCTCGCGGTCATAAAGGTGTTTTCAATTCAGCTGGATATTACATTTCGGCTTCGATTAGTATTCTGAGCTTTTCGCCAGGCGAATTCGGCGGTTCCGATTGCAACAAGGAAATCGCCTGTAACGACAGACTTTCCCTATCCTGACCCGGGCAATTCGACAGCTCTCGCAAAGTGACCGCAGTGTACAACGGCAACCTTACGCCGTAGGGATCCAATATCTTGGTAATTCCTATAATCCGTTTACACAGGTCAATTTTCCTTGGATCACTCCGGCCTTGCAATTGAATCAGCGAGTGGCTGACGCTGGTGCACAGCTGATGATTAGGATGCAATAACGTGGTAAGTCTGAAATATCGAACAAATGAAGCAGCGTTTGATTATTTTGTGTCTCGTCGCAGTGATGCGTTGAAAAAGGAAAATGACTTCACCGAGAAAGAAGGTCGCTCAGCGAGACTTTTGTCACGTTGCACATAACGTTTTCAACGTCGTCTTCCAATTTACAAGTGAACTCCACCACTTCTGAGACCGTCAAAGTTCCAGGACACAATTGACACTTCCACTCTGACTCGAAGTCCAGCGGATCCTTGGGTAAAATGAATCCGTTGTCCTGTGGGCATATCAGAGTGCCGAGATGCGTACCCAGCTCGGTTGGGTCGGCACATCGTTTACAGTAGCACGAAAAATATTTTGTGTCCCGGAGGTGAACCCGGCGGGCTAACGTTGACCAAAGTGCGTGTGTGTACATTGTGCTTAGATGGTGCCCTCTGAAAAGAGTCACGTGTTCAATGAAATAGTACGAGGCGAAGATACCCGAAGAGTATGCGTTATAATTAATTAAACAATTGAACAATATTGTTCTTATGAATTCAGCGGCAACGGTGATGGAGGATTATATATTTAAAGCAGAGTATAGTCTTAAATTCGAAGAGACTAATTATCGAAACGCATGAGACGTTAAACAGTGCAATTGGTAAGAAAGTAGATTTCAATAGAAGAAATCCTTGCCAAGCAGATGTTAGGGGAAAAAGCGATCGTAAACTGTGTTACTGTTTGCGAAGTGAACATACTTTTTGATAGGACAAAGAGCTTTCACCATGATACGTGGCCTTCCCTTATCATCGATTTTAAAGTTATGCTTTGTGTTCGCCAGACAAGAGTGCTCCAGCAGGCACGCTGTTTCATAAATCGCCACCGAGCCCTCAGGTGGCATCGTTTCCAGGGCGTTTACATCGATTAAGCCGCAAATTTTTCCTACGACATCCCTGCTTCCCGGTTTCTGTGACAGAATACGTTCTAAATGTTGACTTACATTCATCACCTCCTCGTACGCGATTGTTCCCTGACCGCGCGAATCTTCGTGGCTCTGTAATTTTTCTAGAGCCGCCCATTGTTTCGACTTTTTCAACCACAATATCCACATACGGATAACTAACAAAACATCGCATCTGTAACAAACAACAACGATTGTGAAAGAGACGTCGATTCCACAAATTATATCAAATAACAGTAATTTAATAAAACTTAAAAAAAGGTGGAATGAAAATTTACGACGCATAAATTAATTTTAGTGGAATCAAACAATTTCACAGCCACCCGTGTATTACGCAGCAATAAACCCTTGAATTTGCCATCAATGATCAAACACAATCGCGAAATTGACATAATAACGAAAATAAGCAAATACAGATAAATGTTTAAATGTTTAAACGGGGAGTCCCATTATTCAGAGCTTCTTTTTTCTAAATACGGGATAGCCAAGTTGAATATTAGCATTGATATAATTCGAATATTAGATAACTCTCGTTAAAATAACTTCGTCCCTTTAATAATTCCAAATACTAACATCCCATCATCCACGAAACTTGTACAACGTCGATGACACATCATCAATTGAATTGTGGTATTTTCTTTTGCAAACCATAAATGCCTAAAATGGCGTTATACTTGAAAAAAAGAAATTAAATTATGAATTAACTATCCTCAATTCTTGCTTACAGAAGCACTCATCGCGCAGACAATGTATCGTTTTCATGCATTTCATCAAAACGACGATTACGAATTTCATGAAACATTTAATAAACAATTTTACAAACCTAGGGACAATCCTCGCCCGTACCAACAACGGACACTCCGAACCATGTCTATGCTTATCAAGAAGTCCTGGACAATCTTGTTCGCACGCAGGCCAAGTGCAGGTCTTACATCTTGTAGAGTCGGACGTGCACCGTTTGCCACAACCGACGCAGACTCTTTGATCCGTGTGCAACGACGGACCCCAAACCAAAGGTGACTCCGACAGGATCAGATCGCCGGGACTTAAGTCCCTTGACGCCAATAAATGTCGTCCGAGTTCAGGACTTTCATGAATCTCCCACGCCTGACAAACTGACCTGTGGTTAGGCCAATCTTGTCGCTGATGATCTTTGCTGCAATAAACTTGTTGCTTGCATCCGCTGCATCTGAGAGTCGCGTTTATTCGATCACCGCAAATCGGACAGCCAGATTCAGTTTCCGCCGCCATGCCTTCCAAATTACCGTGCACCTAATTGCATTTCATTTAATGTGCGTTCCATGATCAAGTTCATGCTAGATTTCTATCCAAGTATTTTCCAACTTATTAGGTGAATAAGGATTTTGTAAATTCTGCGAGTTAACTGAAGCGTCTTACAAATTGACAAGTATCTCTATGTTCGAAATGATAAGCTATGTACGTATCTAAATCACGATGCTCGAAACATTAATAATAACAAGTATCTAAAAACTACAGTTATTTAAGTTTCTTTTACAAACATTTTAACACGTGGATATTATTTACTTGATAATATTACTATTATAGGTAAATGTCATCAGCAGCAATTATTAATCGTCAAATGAGTTACATTTTGTAATTACATAAAAAAATTACGATTTAATGGTATTTTCCTTATTTTAATAATAATGTTTAACACTAGTTTTACCGATATTTGGTTCACAC